TTACATGTAAAGAACTGCGCCTTATTGACTTTGAGGAGTCGTTGTCTTATGTGGTGTCATTGGATACGGTGGAGAACTCCGAGCATGAATGCATCATATTGGATTCCATTGACAACGCAATGGGGCTCGAGGAACTCATTGTGATAACCGTTGCGATGGATGCGAGGATCATTCCTGAAGGCATGGGAGTAGGAAACAACATGAAACAATTATAAACAACTAAAGAGCAGGAATCATAGATAGTGTTGACGAATATTGTGACCCTTGGCAATTAAGTTCTGTAGGTTTTCATGTAACAGGCATGCGGACCTTGGCCAAACTATCTGAGCTATTCACAAAAGGCACCGATGCGGAGCTGCAAGCTTAGGAGAATTGAGTGCCAGGACACGCAACATGCCAACACAAAGGAATTCCCCTGCTACTATGATCTTTCATGCCTGCGCTGTGCCTGTGCCCCTGCGTGTTCTTTTTGACATATAATATAGGGACCCCGGATGATCACGGTTTGAAGTTGCTGCATGAGCGCAGGCAGTGCTGCTGATCTCGGAACACGAGCTCGGCTGTATCAATGTATCACACGTGCTCAGCTCATGGCAATCGTCGCGAATGAACTCTTGCCCGGAGGATGGCTTGAGCATTTAACCCTTTGCAAACTGATGCGGGGTGAGTTCGATGAAGTTGCAGGAAGTATCGAATCTTCCGCTGGTGCAGCCACCAAGGTTGTAAAAGAAATTCAGGAAATTCAGCCTGTTGGAAACTCTGGTAAGAAGCCAGCTGAATACGCGCAAAGTACAGCAGCAAACATTGAGAATAATGATGCTTCATTGAAAGATCCTGCGCGATCTTCAGCTGAACCTTCAGTTGCAGCTTCTACAGAGATCGCAGGAGGAACGAATCAGAAGGTGATGCATATGCGCGAAAGTGTTGTTTGGGACACGTCGCACAACAACATTCAGACTCCCATCTACAAGCTAAGGTTTGATCCTTCGAAGAAGTCTCCAGCAGAGGCCTTTGAGATCCTCAAATTAATGCTGCCCGCCCAAATTCTCCCAAGCAACTGCCCATACCCCAATGACTGCCTTTTTTGGAGAACGTTCGAGTACTCGTGGGGGGGGCCACCCCGCATCCACTACAGGTTCTGAGAACTCGTTTCTATTTTTTCGAGATGGCACAGTCCTTCAGAAATCAAGACGGCTGGATTTGGATCACTCGTCGGAGTACAGAATGGTAGGTTTTGACACGTGCTCTGGTCCTGACTATGAGTATTACCGTATGTGGTCTTGCTCTGCTGCAGAGGGACATTTTGATTTGTATGCCTTGACCTTAAGTGGGACATTTACTCATGAAGCGACAGCAAGAGAGTTTGAAGACTCAAAGGATGACATACCTTGGGCCAAGTCCAGTGGAAAGCCGGAGTTTAGCTACACTTCAAAGGAGTTTCGCCAAGGAGTTGAGCAGAGAGAGCGGCAGTGGAAGGACTGGGAACAGGGTCATCGTTGCTGTTTGAACAGGATGATGGCCACCCTGTCGGAAGCGCAATTGAAACGATTTGGCATGGACTCGCAGCACTTGTGGTTTTGGCAGTCCGACCTCTGAGCCTCATTGACACTCTTAGTGCTTGGTCTCTCACGCGGCCTTCGAGTGCTGGTGCGGTCATTAAGCCTAAGTCATTGCTCTCCAAAGGAGATGCAGCGCGGATCGATTCTCTTTTGTGCCGGTCCCCTGGCTACTACAGATGACCAAAATGTCAGTCCATGTCAGCGTCATAGAGTCATAAGGAAGACCGGCCAGGGAGTTGATTCGGGCGTGGAAAGAAAGCGTAAGGAGTTCAGGAGTGGCAGAGACAAGTCGAGAATGGTGGTGGAAAGACTTGTGTGAATACCCTTGAGACTTTGATGAACAGAAGTTAGATCATTGGAAATATTGCCAAGTTTTTTTATCTCAAATTCTTTGTGCTCAAGCAGTCTTGTCGCATTTGTCACCTCAAGAATTTCAATTATAATTATACTTTCAATTATTTGTCTCAACTAAACTCGACCAGTGACCAGCTGCTTGCACCAGATAGACCAAGCACGTGCAAGAACTGGATTCATGGTTTTTACACAAGTGTAGTGTAATGCCATTTATATAATGCCTTGTGTTTGTATGTTTTGCTAACCATGACTGGGTGGGCGAATGCCGCTGTACGCTACGGGCGCTGGGGTCCGGCAGAGCGAAGGCGAGGTGGTGGAGCGGCGGGAGCGGATGGAGGGGGGTTCATTGGTAGTGATTTGGGATGACCCCAAGTAGCTGGTTGCCCGTAACCCTAAGCATATCTGAGTGCACACGATTGCTGCATGACCAGGTTAAGAAAGAAAGTCCCGATTGGACCTCAGTGGTTGTGGTACCCACCTCCTTAGTGGTGTTATGTGGTGTTAGCCTTTTCCTGCTGCCATTGTGCAGTCTACATAGTGCATGTAGTTTTGCCTAGCAAAGGCGAGCTAAGAGCTGCAAGGAGCTTCCATCGGACGAATCCCTGCCCCTTTATCGCACCCCAAAGACCTTGCAAAGCCCCCAAAGACCGTCTCAAGAAACGCTTCCGAAGAACGAGTACCACAAAGCGACAAACCCAAGTGTACTCATCTCTGTGTGTACCACAGGGAGAGTCATGCGGCTGCCTAGCAGGCTGTGTCTTCATGCGTACCTGAAATTCGACCACTGCCAGGGTGGAGCTCCAGCAGTCCCTTGACACTCAAGGAGGCAGGCCTTGAAGTTTCCTACATCACCAATCAGGTTTGTAGTTATATAATATAGACTGACCGAGTGTTGTAGATTTGCTATGATTTGCTGATTCTCTTGGAGTTTCGGCGCATGTCTTGGGATGTCTCTTTTTCAGCTGCGCAGGAGGTGGATGTTCAGAGTAGCTGCAGGTGGGGCATGTGGGGCGGTTCAATTAGCAACCTCTAGTTGGAGGGGAGAAAGTGAATGAGTATTGCTATCAGTTCTTGGAAACTGGCGTAAAACCCTCAGACGAAAAGACACACATTCTTGGAAAGATCAAGGAAGGGCAGGGTTGCAAATTTAGTATAATATGTATTGTTCATGTATATATAACAATGTATTATATAGAGAGAGGTTTATCAAGGGTATGAGAGTGTGTGCGTGTGTTGCAACCGTTTGCATCCACGTGTGCTTCGCCTGTTTTTGCATTAACATGCATCCTTTCCACATTCAACAACGAGAGTATGTGCTGCAATCGGACATAAGATGACATAAGTTCCAAACAGCTTGTTAGAGCTTTTTCATGTGACCCTTCATTGCCACTGTGGAATTCGTACTTGCATGCATGTAAAGGTTGTCTTGCACGAAATATGTCAAATCAAATCCACCGGAGGAGTATTCCGAAAGGACCCTGGGGACTTGTGGGAGTCCGATATGGATTCTGCATGTCAGTTGACTGGATTGGTCCCAAACCTGGGTCCTTGCGGCACCTGGTCACGTGTTTTGCTTCGCTCTGCTGCGAATCCGATCGCTTCAACGCCACAACCGATCAGGTCGGGGGGGGAGTGGGACCCTGTAGCATCCTGTGGGATGCCGAAGAACCGAGGAAGCTTAGTCCAACTTGGAGTGTTGTTTGGGTGGTACCAGCAGAAGCAATTACTCCAAACAAAGCACACCCAAACTCCACTGCTTCACGCACCCACTGCTTCCCCGAAGCGACGGATGGCGGAGTTACTGGGAAGGTGGGTTCAGTGAAATCGACAGCCTCTCTTGTTTCTGGTCAGAGGCGGCCGGTCGACCACCTCATGATCGACCACCTCATGACTAAGATGTCCAGGTCAGGCACTTGGTGGGGTGGTGAACATGGATGATGTCGTGAGTAAATAGTGGTCCCTAAAGAGTATTCGTGGCACGGTTTCCCATGCATTTTTAGTGGGAGTGGGCTGAGTGGGGATCTACTTTTCTATATCTATTTGTGGTTCTGTGTAAAATGTAGTCGCGAAAGCATGAAGGATGGGTCAACAGGCTTTCATTCTCTAGAGCAAAGACCTCCAGAGACACTTCGGCAAAGCAGCGAAAAGCCAAGAACGCACGTTGCTACCAGCTTGGATCTCCTTCGTGGCAGGAAACACCAGGAATCGCCCAGCAAATATTAGCAAATAAGACCAAGTTGGGAAAAGGGACATCTAATCGCATGGCATATAAATATATAGATTTGGAGATTCAGGGTTGTCTGAGTCTCTTGGGGAAATGGTTCACCCTAAGAGATGAAAACAGGAGCCGCTACAGCAGCACAAAGCCTGCCCAGAGACGAGGCGGGAAGATCACACAATGGCCTAGGCAGCTTAAGCTGAATTAGTTCATGTCATGATTACGCAGTCAGTTGCATCTTTGGCCAAGCTGCGGAAACTGTCATGGTATTTCTTGAAAAGACTATCTTCTCCTTGAGACGGGGAAGCCAAATCGTGGTTTCTTCTCAATACTGCTGGAACTGCCAGGGCTTCACGATGATATCCTATGACATCAACATCAATAGTGCTGCCCTTACTTGCGCGACTGCCAGATTTTGCATCGATTTCCTCAGCCGTAATGCATCGATTTCGGAACCGCTGTCTGTCCAAATGACCTGACCAATGACTCGCGCCAGGCGCTGAGGGGGCGGAATGGGGGATAACTCGCTATAGAGGCCTTAGGGGCCGTGGAGTAGGAGATCTGCTGACGTTCCATGTTTCAGACCGATTTGAGGGATACTGGTATCATCCATGAAAGACTTCCTGTTCTGCCTTTGAGTACGCAAGTTGCTGTGGCATGCCCGTGTCCTAGATCCAACTGCCGGTCCGCTAGTTGTTGCTGCGCTCCGTGTGGCTGCAAGGAATGCGTTTCGGATCATCCTACATGATTGACTCACCATGAACACACGTTCGAAGAATGCAAGAGCTAGATTTTACAACCCCATGGCGGTCACCCATCACACACAGCACCACTCTTCAAAACTCAACTGAACACCCAACATCAATCTTGTGGTTCATGTTCACACTCGTTTTAAGGTCTTAGCCTCAATCTTCCCACCATGGTGACGCTCGATGATGGCATACCATGTTTCCTCAAGGTGCCAGGCCATGAGGAGTCCGAGATCGCCCTGTGCGTCGATGATGCTATGACAGGGCTTGATGTGATCCGCTGGGAACAGATTCGGGGGGAAGCGCCTCCTCATGAGTCTCGTGGGAACCGACTCCTGTCGGTTCAAGACCGGATGATTGCGCCCCATGAGCTGGTACGCCCAGCTCTCCCTGAGTCTTGGTCTGGATGTGTGACGCTTGCGGATTACTCTCAACTTATCCCAGCTGAAGGCAAGATTTGTCGCATCAGGGCCACTGAACTGCGAGGCATCAGAGTGGCGCAATTGCACTCTTTGTTGGTGTTCATCAAGGAGATGGCTCCCTACTGGTGTGAAACATTTGGTGCTGAAGCCGGACAGGCACTTTTGTTTGAGAAGTTCAATCTTTACAATGCGAACCAGTGGATCATCCGACCCTCCGCAGAAGGGCGCGGAGGACATCGGATTCATTTGAGCAAGGTGATGAGCCAAGTGGAGAAGGGTTGCAGCTATGTCGAGCTGGTGAGCATGGAAGCAGAGGCCCAGCGTCCCCACTGGTTCGTCTCCCACGCATGGAAGGAGCCGATCGTGAATTTTGTCTCCTGCTTGGAAAAACATTTGGCCGTACGGGGTCTTTCACCAGAGAGCCCCTATTGGGTTTGCGCCTATGCCAACAACCAGCATACCCTAGACAAAGAAATTACGGAAGATCCACGGGAAACTGCCTTCTACCGTGCCATGAAGGCCAGTGAAGGTGTACTTCTCATCTTGGACAAGGATGCAACGCCATTTTCGCGCATTTGGTGCTGCTTTGAAGAGAGTGTTGCGGTGGAGCGCTCAGTTGGTAGTCGCGAAAAGTTGCTTCAGCAACCTTGAGTTCGCTTTAGCTTGGGGTCTAAATCCTGCTTCATGACCGATTTTGGGATCGCGAAAGGAGGCTCTTCACTACCTTCTCTCCCCGCCCCTGGCGGGTTCAATTCCCTGGGACGGATGATGTTTCCCTTCAAATCTACCATGGCTTCGTGTGATTGGATTCGTATCGAGCTTTACTGTTGGTTTGTTGCTGCAGCTGCTTTCCTGCTTTTGCTGCTTTGCTTTGCTGCTGTTGCTGCTGCCGCCTCTGCTACCCACCCGTCGTTGCTAAGCAACCTTTCGCCCACCCCCCTTTTTCTTAAGTTGTGAGCAGTCTTAGACTTCAGGTCGAAGAGCGCAACTCTGCCACACCCTTGCTGCTGGACCTGGCTGCTGTTGCATCTTTCGAGGCTCACATGGTCACGGATGGCTTGGCAGGAGTTGAACGCCAGATGATGCCACTCCTGGGGATGCTGTCGAAGAGTCAGCGTGAAAGCTACTTTCCAGCGGAAGTCCTTGAAAAGGGCTTGCAGGCAATGTGGTTCTTCAGGGTCTCTTGCTTTTAAGGTTTGGGGGGGAATTATTAATTTAAACCACATGATTGTTTTGATGTGCGAGTGGAGGCCATACAGGCAGGTTTGCTCCTCGTTCCTTTCGCTTCAACAACTCCAACAATTGGATGTTTGGCAAGCGAATCATACCATGAAACCATGACCTTGCAAAGGATTTTAAATCCAAACCGGAGAGACGAACCCACGAATGGTTTCCCCCAGTTGTTCGGACATCAGGTGGACATCAGGACAGCTGAAGCTGCAGTAGCAGAGGATAAGAACCGCATCTTGATGAGCATCGTCAAGCGGCGGCAATCGAAGAATGCCATTGGGATGTTCAGCTCCTCCAAGAGTTCAAGGAACTCTGAAGTACAGCTTCCGCCCAAGGAGCATGAGAGCTACGACATGGTGAATCGTGCGCTGGCCGCGCAGTTCTCTTTGGCGAGCTGGTTTGAATTCGTGATGAAGGGTCGCAATTGTCAGAAACTTGCGGATGCATTGGCAGCTGACGTGAGCAGAACCATAGTGCAGTTGTCCATGACTGGCTGCTTTGGCTTCAAGGATGCAGATTTGCAGGCCCTGTTGCGCTGCTTGCCAGAAGGACTTTGTGTTTTGCGCATGGATTTGGCCTTCACTGATCTAAAAGCACCCTTTGATGACGAACACCTGAAGTTCCCAGATTTGAAGCAGCTGATGCTGCGCTTCAGCGGTTCCTCCCTGGAGAGCATAGAAGGTTTGCCAGCCATGTTGAGTCACCTTAAACTGAGCAGTTTGGAACTATGGCTTTGTAACTTGCCAGCTCTCAAGAGCATCGGGTCATTGGGGCACATCATCAAGAGGTCTCATTTGAAAGAGCTGGTGCTGCAACTTGTTGGCTGCCCTCAGCTGTCTTTGGCGGCCAAAGAGGAGCTGTTCCTTGGTGGCACGTGGAGTCAGCTGTTTCATCTCTGTGGCAAACTATGTGGTTTGATATGGGCGTGTAAGTGGGTGTGTATAAAAATAGGAGATCTCCCAACGATCCCTTGCAAAAGGGTAAATATACCAAACCCGGGGTCTCCCGCGTTTAACATACACACCCATTACACACCCATTTGGGTTCTCCTCAGCCAAGCGAGGAACCGATGTCTTCGCAATGTGCTTCTTTGGTTAAGAGTGAAGCAGCATGTTCAAATTGAGGAGGGCTGATTGCTGGAGAATCGTGTGGTGTTGCATGGAGTTCAGATCTGTTCTTTGCCTTTCTTTACTCACCAACCTATCATTTGTGACCAGGACGTGTCTCATTCATGGCAATGCCCTCGCAGAAACGAAGTCCAAGTGCAGCATCCAGGGAACCCTTGCGAGGACCGTCGGCGCGAGTTCTGCCCAGAGCAGGGCCGGTAGATGGCAAGAAACCATGGCAGAGTAAACATAAGCAAAGCAGAGTAAAGTATGGTAGACCAATAGAATTGCATCCAATTGCAATGTGAGATGAAAAGTGAGATGAGGAGTATGAAGAGATTTCAGGCCTGATGCCGTACCCTTGCAGCTACCCGGGCTGTAAAGAGTTCCACCAGAACCACCAGGGCTTCTGCAGGCGACATCGACGACAAGGCTTTCTATGGAAGATGAGGTCCTCGTTGCAAACGGCTGCCAGGCTATTTAGGGAGCTTGATTTATATTTGTTCCAATTTCTGTTCAATTTTGCCCATCTCCTACGTACAACAATGGCCTTTGTTGTTAGAAGGTTGTGCAAGCAAGGTTCGGCAGGGTGGAGAGCTGGCGCTGCTCTTGTCCACGCAGGCTTTTCTAGAATCCAACAGCAGAATCACCCTTGCTCTCCTTGGATTGTCTTTGTACCTTGACTACAACATACGGCTTTAGGACTCTTACATATGCAACAATAGGCTTTGGTTTGTTCTGATTATGTTCTGATTAACCGTGCTCTCAAAAGTACTTTGAGTTTCGGGATTGATGATCTTGCGTGAAGATGGTTTTAGCGCTTACCATCCTGCTGCGATGGTTTCGGAGAACCCCCCTTCTCTCACATTCTGCAGCACCAGGCATCACATCACATGCAGGAGTATACCTCAAGGACGCGTTCCATCACCTCCCAAGATAACCGAGCCTCACCGATTCACCAACGTGAAGAATCACTGCGCATCGTTCTCAGCACGTGAGGTACTGTACAGGAGATGACGGTCACGGCATAAGACGCTTCAGAGCGGCAATCTCCACAAATCACATCGTTTTTCGCTAAAACACACCGTGTTAACCTATCAAAACCTATAAATATTATTAAAGACATTGCACCTCAACACGAATCACAAGAAACATGACATCACGACACTATGCTTGACCAACATCACACTTTTGCCGCCGCATTAGGTGCGAGTTGCTGCGGTTCGTTGAGGGCAGGAGTGAGAACAGAATGCAGCGGGCAAGCTTTGTGTTGCTTGGGGGTGCCATTTTTAATAGTGAGGGGGCCTGTTGACCAGACGCGAAAGGGCGCCCCATTTGGAGTGGGAGTTCATGTGCAGGATAGGCGTAGCGTTGGAGGATGTGATAGGAAAAGAGGTTGGGATCTGGCATTCACCCCTCATGTCTCTTTACACGGCCTTTCGAGGGGGGGGTTTTGGAGGAGGTTGTAGACAAGGGCTGTTTGGTGTGATTATATTATTCATGTCGATGATAGGAAAGAGGAGACAACGGGATGCGACAAGTGCTTGGAAATCCTCCAGGAAAGGGAGATGTGCGTCTCTGGTGGCAATTGCGGTAGTTTTTTGACCAGGGGTAAAAGGGAGGTCCATGTCTCTTAAGACACTGTGTGATCTGTGAGGAAAAGAATAGCACGCAGCAGGCAAGCGCCCCTCCGTTCCTTAGGGGTGCCCTTTTTCACCTTGAAAATGCCCTTGAACCAGCAGAAAAGGAGCAACCCCCCCAAATCTATTCCGCTTTCTATTTCTACCCCCTGTCGGCGTGGCTGCAATGTCGACTTCACCCCATAACAAAGGTACTCTTTGCCCGATGTTAGTCTATCGCTTGATCTTGCACACCAAGCTTGTATCTTCAAAACGCCCCTCGAGCAACAAGAACACGGGCACCCCACTCCCCCACCTGTGAGTGAGTTGCCTTCTCTTTCCCCATTCCTGGCAGCGGCTCCAGCACGCTCTCGACTTCATCCCCATTGCCATATTCATGTGTTCTTACCGAGGCTGGCTTTCGTCCCCTCCCTTCTCAGGTATCAGACATGATCACATGATATGTCACATCATCACATTGCACACTGCATTCTTTTTCAGTTGGTGTATTCGTACGTTGAAACTTCTGCCCCAGGAAATCCCAGGTAGGCATGTGGTTGCCAACAGTTTTCTTGTATCTTAACAAACGTTGGTTTCTTGATTTTCTTGACATGCGGCAAACTGAAACTCTGTCAAAAAATGCGTGGCGACTCAACCTCAAACCTTCTTGGGAAACGCTTTGTGCAACTCCATTAGCCCGATCTGTCCAAACAGGGCCGAACCTGCAACATTGCTTGTGTGTAAGAGCATATTGAAATCGTGCGTATCATTGCACATCTCATGCAGCCCAGCTCTCCAGTTGCAAAGCTGCAGCACCAGTTTTGCAAGGTACCCTGTAACATACACGATGGTGGCGGACTCCACAGGCATCTTTGCCGGTGTGGTGGTTTCCATTGCACTGATGCTTGTCTTCGCTAGCCTTGCATACACCTCAGCCCGTTTTGATTGGATGCGCAGCTCCATGTTGAAGTTGTCTCTGGCGACCGAAGCAAGCTATTTCCAGGCAGGGCTGTTTCCATTCAGAGGGAAAACTTTAATTTTTATTTGGCATGAAAAGTAACTGCTTTGTCTCTGCGTGCTATTTTTTTGTGATTTCTATTGGCCTTGCGAATATTGTTCCGATTTCACTTGCTCAGCTGAGCGCATGAACCCACATGGGTTGACAAGATGGTTTTCGTGTGTCCTTCTGAAGTCTTTTGCATTTGAGTTTATGAAGGTTCAAATTGCGATCGTGTCCCTAGTAGAGCAGTTCTTAGCCTGCTAGTTTGCTAAGCCTACTCTGGCCCAGCGCCCTAAGTACAAACAACAGCTTTCCAGCATATGTTTGAGCAACGGGCAAGCACAGCTCATGTTGCACGCACTTTGAGCTCCTTTGCTAACACTCTGGTGCTTGCAATTTTAGACAAATTTGGTATGCCTTGTGCAAACGCTGGGTTAATGGTAAGGGCTGATGTACGTTGAGGTGTCCTCCGACATGTCGGTGTGCCCTTGAACTCAGCAGTGCCTGGTTGAAATCAGGTACTTCATACTTTGAAATTGATTTTGACAGACAAAAACATGAGCTTGTTTTTCCCAAAAGCAGGTTTTGCAGGACGCGTCTGGGCCTGTGGCGGCTTTGTCCACTGTTTTCGAAGAGCTGGGAGAACTCGACAAGTTGCAGCAAGACCCTGATTTGGTTTCAGATTTGATGCTCCGGTAGCAGATCGGCAGGTGGTTTTTGTTACAAGTTTGTTCCAAAGCGATTTCCAAAAGACCCTGAACGACAACCCCAGTGTTCTGGAGACCGCTTGCCATGGTCCAATTGCACTGAACCTCGTCCCATGTTAGTAGTTTTTTGGCCTTGTTCAATCTGAGGAAAAGCAGCTTTGTTGAAGCAGGGCGACGCAGAGGTGTCTTTCAGTGCCTTGGCAAAGCAGCAGAAGATGTGCCCAACTTGCCAACCACAGTTTGCCCCCCCGGCAAGTGTCTAGGCGAAATGAACCCCCCCATCCTCAAACGTTCTTGTCCAAGAAAGGATGGTATCAGGTGTTCAGAAATTGTATGCCAGGAAGTGGATTTGCGATTATTTCTCGGACATTGAGGGTAGTGTCAAGGCTAAGCTGAAACTACCTACAGAAGTCTTTGGAGTGGTGCAAGCGCAAGGCCGGGCTCTGCAGCATTTGACTGGATGTTCTTTTGTTCACGCTGCCCGGAGTTATGAAGGACACATAAGGAAACCCTTTTTGGAGGCTTCCTGTTTCTGTTGCCACGTTTCTTGCGCCGTTCCTTGCCGTCGAGAATTGGATTTTTGGTTGCCATGGAAATTTATGTTGCTTGCGAACACTCAACAAAAGAGAGTGGCAGGCTGTGAGAGTGCACTTGTTTGCTATTTTTATCATTCCATGAAGTCATTTGACATGTATAGTTTTGTGGCTTATCAGCATCTATATAGTGTCCAGTTGCCTTTGAGTCTGGCCCTCTCGTGATGGCAGAGCTAGAAGGTGAGAGTTTGGCAAGACAATTGGGTGTGAGAAGGGTACCTTTACTGCAAAAGCTAAAATATTCTTTAGACTAAGGTATAGTAAAGCTTTGGCATAACCACTATGGGGTCAAATCTAATATTTCTTTAAAACAAAAATGATATATAATTTGTTGATTGTGAAAATTAGATTCTTGGTCAAGTCTAATTTAATTCCAGAGAGCAGGTGTTGCTGGGGGTGTGAGTTTAAGACAAAATGATATAAAAGCATATGTTTTACAGTGTTTTATTGCCCTGGGAGTGCTGGGAACTAGGTCAAAACATTGCCTTTTAGGTAGACAGATAGACTTGTTCAAGTAATATTTGGAATACTCATTTCTATATTAATAAAGCTTTGTATAAAAGTTTCTATGTCAAAGGTTTTCCTCTATATAGATCTCTGGAATGATCCCTTCTATAACAAAATATTTTAAAGCTGCTAATTCAAGAGTTTTCCCCTTCATCTCTGGATTTTCTGAAGTTTTTACATTAAAACGCTATAGTTGAACGCCTTTTTGTTCAAACGCTTTCCTTTAAATCTTTGAGAATAATCATTTCCATATTTAAGCATGCATATCTTAGTTTAAAGCTTACCTTTTCATTTCTGAAAATAACCTTTTCGATATTTAAAACTGCCTTCTACATTGTAAGTGTTTTTCCAAAAACTGTTCCCTAGATTTCTGGGATTGATCACTTCTATATTCAAGACTAATATCCAAGGGTGCTTTTCAACAGCTGTCCCCCAGATCTTTGGGCATGATGATTTGTTTAAAGATCATATATGGAAGCTGTGTATTTCACAAGAAAGGATCTCTGTGAATAAATATTTCTATGTTAAAAAAACTTTCTATAAACATATAGTTAAAAAAGAAGTGTTGTGCACAAACTTACCTCCAGATCTCTGGGATTGATCACTTCTATATTGAAAAGCTTTGTTTGAAAGCTTTCATTTTTATAGTTTTCCTCTGGACCTCTGGGAAAGTAGATTTTCTAGAGGTATGTGTTTTCTTTAATTTTATGCTATATATAAATGCATGTATATATGTATATATTTATCTGCCACTTGAAAAATCAACCCTTTTATGGAACACATAAATACAGACCCCATGGGACAAAGCCAAAAACACCTTGAGAAAACACAAAAATGTATATTTATGAGAGTCTTGACTGAACCCTGCTACAGAGAACAAACTTCTGAAAACATGTTTGTTTGGTGTGTTTTAGCGTGTTTTCTTCAAGAAGTGCTCACAAAGTGCAGAATCTTCTGCAGAGTGCAGCCCTGGCAATATTTATGTTTAGATATTTTTGCTCTTCATGCCCAGTATGTTCGTAGTTGCAGCGTTTAGCGATTGGCTCCTGTAAACCGAACTTGCGAAACAGACCGAAAGACAAAGGATGAGCGAAAAAATAGCAGACACGGCTGCCAAATATTCAGTGGAAACAATATTCAGAGAGTATTGGCTGGGAACCCACCCCCTCCAGAGAGTCTGAAAATATTGTGTTTTTTGTTTTTTCAATGTTTTGGCACCCCTTAGATCCAAATATTGCCTTGCCTTGCCTGCTGCCACAAAGAATATTCATAAAATCTTGGCTGGGAACCCACCCTTTCCAGAGAGTCTGAAAATATAGATTTTTTTTGATTGTTTCAATGTTTTTGGTACCACTCTAGATCCACATATTGCTTTGCCTTGCCTGCTGCCACCCTGGGAGTACAGTTTCTATAGTAAAATCTAGGCCTAAGAACAAATGAAAAATAGCAAAAAACTGCACTCTCATGGCCTGCCGTTCTGTAACAAAAAGACAGGAGCGCCAAGCTTGGTGGACCTTCTCTACTGCGAGGTGCACTGTCGGGGTATGCGTAGCGTTCAACGCGCTTGGCATTGCCTCAAGGAGATCGTGGCGACATGCGATGCAGACGGCGCCGAAGAGCCGCGCAAACTTCGCCTCGCGGCCGTGCGGGATGATTTCGTGGTCTTCAGAGGAAGGAGATGTGGTCGGGCAGTGCTTTCCATCGACGGCTACCTGGCCACAGTGATTTTTTTGGAGATGAACTTGGCAAGGCTTGATGAAGAACTTGGCGATACATGCCACATGGCCGAAAGCATCGGGCTTTTGGAGGATGTTAAGCCACAGAACTGGGAGGTGGTGTCGACATCCAAAGTGACGCGCAGCAGTTGGCTTCAATGGGGCTGTTTGTTTTTGTTACGTCTTCTTGCAGCCGGTTTTGCAGGGACACTCGGCAGAGATTTGGAAGTTGGTCCTCTCTCTAGATCTATACATATCTAACGCCCTAATTGTTTTTTTGCCTTGACCTTCAGATCTCTTGGGCAATCTCTCTGAACCTCTAGAATGGTAAGACTTCTACATCTCTCTGGATCTCAACCTCAATGCCAGATCCCCCTCTACCTCTCACATCCTCTCACACTCTTGAGACGTCTGGCTTTCGAGGCCTCTGGACCTAGTGCCCTGGATCTCCAGACCTCTGGAGCTCTCAGAGCTCCTGTGACCTCCAGATCAACTTGTAGAGCTCTTGAAGATCTGTGTAGATCTCCAAACTCTCTCAAAAACCCTCTGCATAAAACTAGACCTCCAGGTTTGATAGAGCTGTATCTCTACAGGTTTGGATCCTCTCAGGAGCTCTAGGCCTCTAGATCTCTGGAACTCTCAAACTCTAGAATTTAGAGCTGGCAGGAGCAATTCCAACTTGGTGCATACCTTTCGTGGGCAACTCAAAGGGCTAATTGCAGGAACAAATACATACATTCCAACTTGGACGGCGCCTTTGTAGGCAGCCCTAAGATTTAGAGCAGGAAGGAACCATCCCACTTGAGTTCTTGTGAGCAAAGGGTAAAGTTTGGAGAAACGCATAGGGAGGAACCCTTCCACCAAGCCTAAAGTTTAGAGCAAATTAGATATATACACACTCGGGCTCGGGTGCCGAAAGTTGCGCTTCTTGACTTCTAAAACGGGACAAACCCTTTCCCCTTAGAATCCTACGTGCAACATGCCGACACCTAAGTTGCGGTCAGATTTCCACACCTGAAAGCCTTATAAGTTTTTTAAATTGAAACGGGTGTGGAAATCTGACCGTGCTGTACCTGCCAGGCAAAATGGAAGTGTCAATCCGATCCGCTGTAGACTGCAGGACCGCAAGTGTCATGTTGGAACAGAGTAAGAAGCGTAAACTTTAGGGTTCTTGAAGGGTGCCTTTTGTGTTTTAGTGTACATGCGTAAATATGTATGATATTCCAATACTTGTTCTTAACTTTATAGCAGGACAACGTTTACGCCGAACCTAACAACATTTTTCATCATTAGTTTTGAACACAAGGCTAATATCTAGTCACAACGCAGGGTGCCTATTGTGTTTTTCAGAAGGTCCTGGAAATGTACATGTGTAAATATGTATGATATTCCAATACTTATAGCAGGACAACGTTTATGCCGAACCTAAGAACATTTCTTATTAATGGGTTTAAACACAAGGCTAATACCTAGCAACAACGCACTGGGGTGCCGAAAGTTGCTTTTCTTGACTTCTAAAACGGGACTAACCCTTTCCCCTTAGAATCCTACGTGCAACATGTCGACACCTAAGTTGCGGTCAGATTTCCTCACCTGAAAGCCTTACAAGTTTTTTAAATTCAAATTTGAAACGGTGTGGAAATGTGACCGCGCAGTACCTGCCAGGCAAAATGGACGTGTCAATCCGATCCGCTGTAGACCGCAAAGGTCATGTTGGAACAGAGTAAGTAGCATAGACTCTTGGGTTCTTGAAGGGTGCCTTTTGTGTTTTTCAGAAGGTCCTGGAAATGTACATGTGTAAATGTATGAATTGCCAATACTTTTTCTTAACTTTATAGCAGGTCAACGTCTATGCCGAACCTAACAACATTTCTCATTATTAGTTTAAAACACAAAGGCTAATACCTAGTAACAACGCAGGGTGCCTCTTGTGTTTTTCAGAAGGCCCTGGAAATGTACATGTGTAAATATGTATGATATTCCAATAATTGTTCTTAACTTTATAGCAGGACAACGTTTATGCCGAACCAAACAGCATTTCTCATTATTATTTCAAACACAAGCCTAATACCTAGTAACAACGCAGGGTGCCTTTTGTGCTTTTCAGAAGGTCCTGGAAATGTACATGTGTAAGTATGTATGATAT